TTGTAAAGTGAATTCCATTTGTCATAGGAGCATCAATACAATCTTGAGGGAAGCTCCTCCTGAAGAAAAATGCTTTAATGTAAAATTCAGAAAAGTAACCATCTAATCCGTGAGTTCACAGGTTGTAATGTTTGAAGGGAGAGTGTAGCACTTTACTCTGAAAACTTGCTTAATATTTATTAAATACATGACTAATGTTAGTAGCTAATTTTAAAGTTTCAAACTTTAGAAGTGTTCAATGTAATTATTAAATAACAGCATGAAAGGACTGTACAATAAACTTGTAGCTGTGAATGCCCATCTTTATCTACTGATCCACCACAACACATGAAAAAAAGATTTCTGCCAATTTCTTGCTCTGCATCACAGCATCCTAATTACCTAGCATTCATGTGATACTGGCTAATATTTGTCTTTTTAGAAATAGTATTGGAAAAGAACTGGGGCTGGGAGTCCAGCAGAGGATCAGGCTGAGACGGAGTCTGCTGAGAGCAGTAGTAAAAGACAAAGGGATTAGTAGCTCTCTTCCACATTCCTCACAATACCTTGACCTTTTAGAAAGATACTGTTCCGTTCCAGCCTCTTACCTGAACTCACACCACCCTCCATTCCAAATTACACTGGCCCCTTCCTTCTTCCCCACCTTATAGAACCTGCTTGGTTGCTGCCATCAAATTCAGTTTCGCCTCTAATGCAGAAAAGGCTCGTGTAGGCTTTGTGGATAATTTTTTCCTCTTAACAGTGAGGTAAGTGCTCCACAAGAGCATTTGCATTTAAAAAATGTAGCTGTGCAACTCATATCACTTGATCTTTCTTGCAGTCACAAGGGTATGTGGGCCATAGCATTGTAAAATGATTTATCATAAAGAATGCTTTATGATCTTGGGGTGGGAAGGAGAAGAGAAGAACTGATAAATTAGAAGGTGGAGAAGTATTTCATAGCTTTAAACTTTCTACAAGATACTGTAGTTTCCTTAAGAACTAACACTTTGGGATTATTACCACTGGGGCAAGCATGTTTAGTCTTGGTGGTGATAAAGACAAACTGCAACTAGAAAAATTCTGAGCTGATACTGAGAGTCACAGTGAGAGTGGTCAAATGTTGGAACAGGAGCCCATGCAAGCTGTGAAAATTCCATCCTTGGAGATGTTCACAGCTAGATGGGACCCAGCACAACCTGGCAGAAATTTGGCATTGGATGTGACTTTGAGTTTGGCCTTGCTTTGAGCAGGGTGTTGATATCCAGAGGTCCCTCCAACAAAAAGTGTTTCAGAAGTCGATGATTATTTTGAGAGAAAACAATGCTTTTATGCATATATATGTATACCTTTTATATCTCATATTATATGCCTGTACTGAGGTGAAGATTCTTGTGTGTTCTGTGTAAGCTAGAGCTCTTCATGGTAGTTTTTTAAACAGACAGCTGTAGTGGGTGGATTTTGGAAAGAGGCTTTATATTCCAAATAACTAAACTGATTTCTGTCTTAAATACAGCACCAATAGGACTTCAGAGAACAACTTCAAGCACTAGTCTGATGTAAAAAAACCCAGCTGCATACACACACGCAAGATTTTTAAGGCAACTACTCATTTTTCTTCCTCCTTGCCCTCTTTAAGCTGCACTACAAGCTGCAGGCTTTATAGAACAGAATTTTTCTGGAGGCATTAAAAACAAAACCATGGTGTTCATATGATTTGGTGAACAAGTAAATGCTAGAGGTAGTTCAGATAAAAATAAAGCAAACCGAAGAAACACCTTTATTCTATAGGTCAAGGAGAAAGTAGATAAAAGAAAGTAATACTTAAAAAAAAAAAGAGTTGGGCAGAAGAAAAGAATAAGGAGCTGGTATGTGTATCAACATTGTCATTCAGGTCTGCATTTAAGTAAGTAACTATTATGTTCCTCATCCCACAGTGTCAGTTGCATCTTCCTACTCCAGTCAGTGCCTTTTTTAAAGGTTTTACAGAAATTATTGTTGTCCATTTAATCCAGCTGACCATCCAATATTTTAATAAGCAGAGTCCTGAAAGTCTTCAAACCAGAAATGAGTGGTGTGACTGAGATGCTTCTTTGTACATTGCAGGAATTGCTTCTATCAGACCTGGTGCCTTCAGAAAAAAGATTTAGAAAACAAATATTCCTTTTGCTTTCTGAATAGAAGAAATGAGTAATAGATTGATTCCTTGCTTGGTGCTTCTAGATCTACCTCTGTATGATCTTTTTCTGCCTGAGCAGCTGTATCTCATTTCCTTACAGGGTCACACACATCCTCACTGCTTTCTCAGGCTTTCTTTTCATACACAGAGCTCGAGCTCCTGCCACATTTCTGTTTTCAGCAGGATAAGGTGGTATGAGTCTTCTGGTTTGGATGGTAATTTATGTTGTTTCTAGCTTATGTAATTTATAAAGAAGGTGTGGAGTTGCTTCTTCTATTCACCTTGAAGAAGAGTGCTCAGTCCTCCTGCTGGACTTAACCAGCTATGGAATTTATGCACCATGTAAAATACTGCCTTGGTGACAGTCAGTAAATTCTTCCAATATAACTGTTTTCTCTTTATCACTTCCTTTTGTTTGCATGCAAATTAAAGAAAATCCAGAAGCACGTTTAGTTTAAAACTATGCCAGAGTCCCTAATGTGTCTATCCACAGATAGCAAACTTTTTCCATGTAGCTTTTTAATGTTCTGCCTCTGATGTAACATTCTAGTGTTACCACATCTTGTAAAATTCTGTCTGTAATTGCATAGTTTTATCAGGACTAGCTGATTTCTGCTTTAATTTTCACTTGCCTCCAAATACAGGTAAAATACAGTACAAGTTAGTGCAGTTGGTCTGTTGCAGTTTGCACTGCTGCTTCTTAGAAAATGCCCCTGGGAGCTGGGGTCCAGGAGTAGCTGAGGTGATAAAGCCACTCACAGCTTGCAGCATGACTTTTGGGTTTTTTTGGTAGTGAAGGAAGCCCGCTGGTATTTCCATGAGGAAAGAAATCAAACTTCCTTACTTTGCAATCACTTTGTCCCTTTAATTATAATTTTTGAAAGGAAAGCATTTTACCTGCATTGAAAACCAACCAGCAGAGGTTGCCATTGATTTTTCTGTTACCTCTTATTGCTTAGCAGTATCTGGGTTTCTTGTACAGACCTGAAATATTTGGCTGACATGAGTCCTTGTTATCAGAGTTCGGTACTCTGGGCACACAGTAAAAGATACTGCAGCTTTTCACATTGGCTGGGACTGACCTGTGAGCAAGGTGACTCAGTGGTCGCCGTAACATTTGCAAACTTAAGCTGTTACCAGTATTCAAATCTGTATTGAGCAGGATGCATTGAACACATAGTTTCTGTGGTCCATTTAATTTTAGGCTTCACCTTTGTTTCTCTAACGTGCCCCCGTGTCTTTGAGGCTTTCTAACAGCCATTTTAAGATGTTTTGGTGCTTTGTTTCTCCGGTGCCCACCAGTAACTGGCCCAGGGAGGAGAGGGAGAAGTCCTTGGTTGCTGCCATGCCTGTGCACACCGTTGTTTGTTCTCCTCCTACTCCTCCCCCACAGGAGGAGTGGGAAGAGAAGGAATAAAAACCTTCTTCCTATTGTTCTGCCCGTGGTATGGATAGCTATGGCTTAAAGCTGTACTCAGGGACTAAATTTAGTCATTAAATCTGTTGTCGCAGCCATTTAGATTTCTGAGGTATTGGAGTGATTTTAATTTTTTTTCTTAAATCCTTCGATGGAAGAATTTGGGATTATCACACGCCGTTATTGCAAACCACTCTCACCCTGCTGCATTTTATGCTGCTTCACAGTTCTACAGACTTGTCATTCAGCCTGGAATATTTGCTCCAGGCTATACTCGAAATACAAGATGTTAACCCAGGAGCAGTTTATTACAATTTTGCCTTGTGGTTTGCCTTGGAACTAAAAGAATTTAAATCCCTGTTGTTTCTAATGACTTGGTTTGTTAAAGCCTCTGATGCCATTCTTGACACGTGTCTTCTGCTGATCTGTAGCCCAGAATACAGCTCTGTGGTTGGTATTTTGGTATTTGAACCTGCTGTTCCTCTCTGTGTCAAAGGACCTATGGAGTGTCTATGTAAGATAACTTTGATGATTGTACTTCTGCTACCGTTTTTATTTTTAGGAAGCGCAAAGTTAAACAAAAGTTCTGAGTCCTTAATCAGGGAATAACAGCATCCATTTGCATGAATAGAGAGGTTGGTTAATTGGGTTAGGAAGTCTGCTTTGAAAAATAATGTGTTACTTGTATTTAAGCCGATGTTTGTAATCAGTTGAAACAATTAAAAACTGGTACAGTATTGAAACCAGTTGCAGCTGAGTTTTAAACTAAATCTGCTTTAAGCATGTAAATAATTAATTTTTAGGGGACTGTAGTTTTTTTCTTTTAAGCAAGACAAGAAGATTTGTGTTGAGCCATCACAAATATTTTACCGAGCTAAACATGTGCAGACATCTAAAAGATGCTTGCAAAATTAGCAATCTGAGAATAACTTTTCCCAAACATTTTTAGTGAGGCGATGATGGCAGTTTCTAAAATTGCCTCTCGCTCTGGCTATAAAAGCTGAGTTGGGTGAACCCAATTCGGGTGTTTGAGGGTTTGGGTGTGTATCCTGTGGACTTGAGACACTCTAATTCTGTGCTGTTCAGCGGGCTTTGCCGTGCGGGCCCGGAGCAGAGCAGCCTGAAGGAATTGGGCCGATACCCCCAAAGCTCCCTGCACCCCCAAACCGCTCCGCCACGCCGGTTACCGGCCTGGCCGGGGGGAACACTTGCTTCTCGCCCCGGGCGCTGCGGCCCCGCCGGAGCAGAGGGTCCCAGGGGCCGGCCGTGTCGCTCCGCTCCGCTGCGGGGGGGGAGCAGCC